CTCTCTCTCTCTCTCTCTCTCTCTCTCTCTCTCTCTCTCTCTCTCTCCAATACGTGCCAGCAGAATCAGATACAGTGGAGGAGGTTTGCTGAATAGCCACAGGCCAATCCGAGCAGTTTATGAGTGGTGCCAAATGTCTCAGTCGGGTACTCTTTTCTCATTCAGCCCAAGAACACTTGACACCACAAGCAAAGGCCTGGCTCTCACCAAGGGAGTGTGTGATAACACACCGTTACAACCCATTAGCACTGTCGAAAAAGTGGCACACACTCACTTACACGCAAACAGGGTGCAGAAATAAAGAACTGCTTTTTGAATACCGACAAAGAAGGCGTGCGTATCTTGACAAGATTGGAGATTTCTTGTGTTCTAGGGTGCTGACTGGTTGCCTCGCCCTCCGTTTACTAGCCCACATGCTCCTGATCATGGACCTAGCACACACACCTTGGCTGCCTACTGTACTTTGTGTGCTGACACAATGTGACAGGCCCTGATGAATGCGTGGTCTGCTCAAAATGTCTCAGCCACTGGCAGATCCTCTGCAGTGATGAAGGGTAGGAGAGTATACCGAGCCAGGACATGAAGAGAAGAGAAGAACATTTTGAAAGCTAACTGCTTCTAAGCTAATTAAAGCCTAACTTATTCATGGACATCGCTTTTGCCAACCACTGAGTTTAATCAAAGGGTCTTTTTTTCGGAATCAGAGACATCTGTTCATGTGCCTAATGTTTTCCCATGTACACATGTAAAGCATAATGTATGGCTTAATCAAGCAAAACGGACACGGGCCAAAAGGAAAAGGCAAAGGCATCCCCGGACCTCCGTTTTCCTCTGAAAGGGCCAATGCCGGCAGTGCCAAGAGCTGAGGGTGCCATGGTAACGGGAGCCACTTTAGGGCCACCGCAGGAGAAGGAGAGCATAACCTTGTCATAATTGTGGACCGAGCTTCTGGAGGGAAACGGATCCAGCAGGGGGAATCAGTTACAGACTCGCATTGGCTCAGTCATCTGCATCAATTCTCTGTTCTTCTCATGTGGACTGAGAAAGCACATAACCATAACCACACACGCACACACACACACGCACACACACACACACACACACACACACGCACACACACACAGACAGACAGACAGAGACAGAGAGTAAGTACTGCAGTCTCTGAGAGATGCACCCAAAACCATAAGCAAGAAAAGAGTTCTAGGGCCACACCTATAAATCAGCACAAAATAAAAAAACCTCATGAATATAAGAAAGAGAATGGAGTGGGAAAAAGAGAGTAAGGCACAAATAGCAGCTCATCAACATAATACACAGGAGAGTGTAGCAACTATTTGTTCTGCCTGCATTCACTCAATGTGGAGATGGATTTAATGGCTTCCTTATTTCCCAATTGATTAACAACAGCCAGCCACACTGGCTCACAGACTGACATTATCTAACACAAGCACACAAACAAATATGCAGAGGGTTTGTTACTTTTTTCTGAAATCTGAATGTATTAATAACTTGTACTTTTCCAAGCAAGGTATTAGAGTAAATAAGTATCGGGGGAATCTGGATGACCTGTTTGAAAGGAAGCATACAAGTCAGCATCTACTCATTTAGAGAAAATGAAAGTTCGCAAGTGCTGCCAAAAGAAATGTTTTTATGCAACAACTGGCCACGGCAAAGTAACAAGATACAAAAAGTTGCCTCATCCCAAAGAACAAACTGCTGTCACAGCAGCGCAAGTCAAAATAGCAAAATCAATCTTTGCTGGTCTTTTTAAATATGAAAAGAAAATCGATTTCGGACGTACAAGTCAATAAAGAGCCAGCTGAAGGGAATGATATTGAAAATCGGACAATTTTAGCTAAAAAATCCAAAGTAAGTAAAAGCAAGTTACATCAGTAATGTGATTGCCCAGGAGAGAATGATCTTTGTGTGTCAAGTATTTACTTTCCACAATCTCAAGTTTACAGTGGACGGAGGGGTTAAAGGACTGAACACATTTCTCTTACCTCTCCACCACGTCGTCTCCGCTCCAGCACGTGGAGTCGTCCACTACGTTCTCCCCTTCGCACAGCATCTCTGGCAGCGCGGCAAAGAACGACTTGTAGCGCTGCAGGTACATCAAGAACTCCCTAAGGAAAAAAAAAAAGACACATTGGGGAAAGGACACAGAGCGATTTTAAAACAGGCCACAAGTCAGATTAGAAATATACTGAGAAATAGATAGAAATATAATATATTGAGAAATGTGTTGCGTGATTGTGGCTATGAATTTGGTGTGGTTGCTGGACACGCTACTCGGTACTTTGGTACCATATCACCAACCGTGTCTGCATTCCATTCAACAATACGTGCATGTGATAAATACACGTGACGATGTTGATGGCGGCAGAAAAATGAGCGGCTTTGAATATGACCACTTCCCTAAGTCAGCACATTTTTCTCAATTATGCTGTGCCGTGAAGTGCTTGCTTCATCAGATCTGCTGACATATGTTGTCGATATAAATGCTGTCATCGCCGGCAAAACAATGACATAACATTTTGATCGGACACACATTGATGCCACCCATGAGGCAGAGCAAAAACCGCGGAGGTCATGTGCTGAGTCAGGAGACCGTGTTCGAGAACACGGTCCCAGCATCGGTTTATGTGAGACATGAAAAATGTATCGGTCGCCCAAAAGACAATCAATGATGATGAAATGTGACAGGTATGTATGCAGTCCCAATATGGGAGAGTGTGTGAGAGAGGGAGAGTAATACGTCCCCTGGGTTCATGCTTACCTAGAGAGTGTTCTCAGACTATGTTTATTGTTCTTGGAGGGTTTCAGGGGGAACGAGCTGGGAATGATGGGAGTTGGAGTCCAGGGGAGATTGTTGCAAGCAAGGAGGATGCGGGGATGTGAAAGGTGGGGCGTAAGAGAAGGACAAAAAGAAACAAAAAAATGACAAGACAAGACACATGGGGAGGAGGGAGAAAAAGATAGTCAGTCGACCCTGGAAGAGAGTTATTAATCATGCACATGCAGAGACTAGCCACACCACACATGAATCAATAACCCTTTCTCCTCACACCACACCAACAATGAAACAGATATATGTAATGTATATGTTAAATCAATAAACAAACACCCAAGCAAACATCTGCACATGTGCATACACAGTTACATATTCAAAAGGAACGCTAAAGAAAGTTCTGCTGAGCTCCTACATTCACATTTTTCCCCATTAAAGCGAAACATAAATGTTGCTTTACTGTGTCACGTTTCATATTTTTCAGCGGCACACTGTTCTCCCTTTACTACGGTGGGTGCTGCCGCGTCTCTGAAGTGGCTAGCGCTCACATGTGCTCTGGTCAGGGCTGGCAGCAGGCGGGGTGCTGGATTGTGTTGCCATGAATGGTGGTGGCAGTGCCAGGCCAGACCTGTCAGCTAAGGCTGGCATCAGCGCAGTGATTCATGGTTTGGGACAAGGTCAGGCAGGCAATGCTGCGAGTGTGTGTGTGTGTTTTCGTCTGTGGTGCTATTTAAGCTCAGGCCCAGCTGGTGTGCGGAGTTGGTGGTATGGCAGTCTGGGAAAACAGGAAATTGTTGGTCCGTCGCGATTAATCTCCCCCACACCTCCCCCTCTCCTGGCACATCAGTGCACATCAGCTGCTGTGGGCAAAGGATAGCTGCCTCAGAGGCCAGGTGGAGGGCATGGACTTTAGTTCCAGGCACTACATTTACATACTATGTGTGCGTGGGTGTGTGTTGGGCCCAACTAACCATATAAAGAATAGAGAAGTGATGGCAGCTGTGAACAAACAATGGCCAACCCCCTCAGGCTATGTCATACAAACCTGACCAGTGTTCATTTCATTTACATTTACTTTTCATCCAGCTGACCATTTAGCAGTCTAACTCATTTAACAAGCAAAATAAAATCTGCAGCCGAAAAACAATTCGCATTTTGGCATTCTGATTTACAACAGGCGACATCAAACTTTGGAAAGTGACTGAACTAATCCTAATTCAGTTCAATGCTTTGTCTTACCTCCTCAAGTGGGCCAACTGCCCCAGCCACTGCTCTGGTAGAGGTTGGGACGGGGCGGCAGATGGAGGAAGAGAGGAGGAGGTCACGGTCGAGGTTGTGACCTCTGGGCTGGTAGGTTGCATGCTTGTAGGCTCCCTAGTAGACAGGCCACACACCTTGTCCACCTGTGGGGAGGATGGAGCAAACAGACACACACCTGTTGAGCTCAGGAAAACATATAACAGCAGGGGTGGAGCTGCAGGGGGACTTCCATAAAACCACCAATTGACACCTGCGCAGTTGAAAGCATATAAACTAAAACAAGTTATTCAAAGTAACCAAATGAGGAATGACTACACTGCAGTTGAATGATTGTGGGCTGAAGAGAGGCAAAAAAAATTATGGGGCAGAGAATTTGGGAGTAACGGACAACATGGGAAAATAGTGGGTGTGAAGTGAGGGGATGTGATGAAAGAAAATGCTGCGATGAGTGAGTTATTGCCGTGGAGGGCTGACAGTGAATGTAAAACATTCCACTACCTCATGGAGGTGAGCGCACGTGCGCACGGTTGGCAACGACGGCGAGTGTCTCCAGTGGCTATTAAAGCCAGCAGCGGTGACAGCGGGGTCACGGGAATGAAGGGGGCATGTGCTTGAAAACCCGAGAAGTAAAATCGATGACATCTCATTGGCTTAAAAGCCTGCGGCCAGTGTTATTAAGTGGTCCTCAATTAGCCAGAGAGACGGAGCGTAATGGCTCTTGTACGTACACACCGGACTGAGTACAGCAACCGATGTATATACGCTGCTTTTGTCTCGAGGGATGAGTCATTGTACCGCGTATGGATGTCCAACAGGACTAAGTGATATTTAGCAGCACCACTTATCCGTCACTGATTCAGAAAAGGAATCCTTACAATAAGACGCAGCGAGAGTTAGTAGCGATTAGTAGCAATTAGTAGCAAAAACAGAGGAATGCACAAACAGATAAACTTAATTTGGGCAGGAACTGGCAAGCATCTGTGTTTAAATGGTTGTCTGTCCACATGCTGGGAAGAGTTTGGATAAGCAAGTCTGGAAGCAGCTGAAATATGTGTTAACGGTCACAAAATGTGTCTTGCCAGCCTGCTAAAAATACACTTTCCCTCCGGGGGTGAAGGCAGGTCAGCTATCTTGTGTGCCTTATAAATGGGAGTTTAAATGGAGGTTTTCACATAGCAGGCAGCTATTCCCGGGGCAGGGGAATTGTCCAACGGCTCAGGAGGCGCTTTCATAACTAGCAACATAACCAGCCACCTGAATATTTTTCATCTTCGTTGCACCGTTTGCACTTCACTCTTCACTCTGGCCTTTCTCTCCTTTGTTTTTCTGACCACATTCTCAGTCTTAAATTCTCTCTGAAGGCAGACGTTGGGCACGGGGAAAGGTTGTTTTATTGCATTAACCTTAACTCCCTCCAGACCAATAAAACATGCTCACATGTGGTAGAGCGGCCCACAGCCACACATGGCCTAGCCACACACACACACACACACACACACACACACACGCGCACACAGGCAATAATGCCACACACACATTACATTGTGACGGCGAGAAAAGACAGAACATAGCAACTGTTTTAGCCATGGAGCCCTCTCAACATACTAAGTCACATGCTATTTGCATGTGCTGCATGTACCGTCTGCACAATATGACGTAATCAGACATTCATGAGAACAATTGTACATTTCAAACCTGTGAAATAGGTTGTTTATTGAAATGAAGTTTGCCAAATTAAGAGTGTCTGAGCAAGGGTAATAGCAAACAAGGATATTCTAACATTTACAGTTCAGTGTATGTTTTGTTGATTAGGCCAGGGCTTTCAACATTGCCCAATCCAGCATTATTAACACTGGCAAGTACGCTAGTGTTTGTGGCAACAAAACAAAGTGACTCAGTAAAAAGTCTGACAATTCCAAGAAGCAGCGAAGCTATAAATGTCAAAGCTGATTCATTTTACAACGTAAGCATGCAACATTAAGTACTCAGCCAATATGGCAGACTGAATTGAACCATAGGCCTCTACATTTATTGAGCAAAATACATTTCTATGACATAAATTCCAGAGATTCAAAACAGATACAACATACAGTCCCATGACAGAATTTCCAGACTACAGCATTTGGGAGGACTACAGTGCTGTGCGTCCGTTTGTATGAACGTGGTGAAGCTGGCAGGCTGTGCAAGGAGCAGGAGAGATGGCAGGTGAAGTGAAATGTGTGAATGTTGTGTAAAAGCGTTTTGAGTAGTCGGAAGACTATAAGGCGCTATAGAAGTACAAGTCCTTTTACAATTTACCATTACTAGTTAGTAATAATAGTGATTGTTTTTTTTGTTAGAGGAAAGGAAATAGTGTTGAGGAAATAATGTGTTTATATATAATATTATTATATATTATTATAATATTCTTATTTTCATTGATTTGGGCCATGTGCTAAATGAACTTCAGCAAATGTAAACATATAACATACCCAAGCAGTGTACAGAACAAGTATGATGATCAAGTATCATCAAAAGTCTATTATATATCGTAAGATACAAATAGTTTAAAAGAGCAGGAACGTACTTCCTGGCTGTACATTAAGTTTTAATTACATTTTATGACGCTTAAGTCCATTGGTTCAATTCAGGACATGAAAAACATCCAAAAACGGTCTGAGCTTCAGGTTATCATTTCTCTGCAGTGGTGAAAAATGGAGGATTAAGACGGGATCTAATCCCGTCATTGTGAAATTTTCAAAGAGGCAGACTGAACTTTTAAATCCAGTGCCATTTCTCACCTGCCTTTGTGTGACTCTTTGCTATTCTCCAAAGACAAAAAAATGTAAATATCCATGTAAAATATGAACATCAAGAAGAGGTCACCCACAGTTCTGTTTGCATTACCCCGATATTTCTTAAAAACCAAACCACAGAGCTACTTTTGGAGAGAACGGAAAGGATTGAACCAAGGCCAACATTTCAAAACAAAAAAACGCTGATGCAAAACATTCTCATGCCTAACTAAGCATACAACAGCGTAAACAGAACACAAAGTCACCGTAGGGACAATAAACAGCATCCTCGTTATGGATCCTCTGGAGAAATGGAGACGAGCTCTTATAGGTTGGATCTTGTCACCACATACTCCTCAGGGCCAATCAGACAACAGGTTGAACAATAACATGGGCTAGAACCTCTGCCATAAATCGATTATCTACTGACCTGATGATGGCGTGAGGATGAAAATCCCATTCGGGCACAGCATGAGTACTTGGTTTTGCATGTGTGTGTGTGTGTGTGTTTGTGGGGGGGGGGGGCACCTGTTTGTCCTTGTTAGACCTTCACAACTCCAGCTATTTTGCAGAGCATTCCTCATATGATTGCCTGAGGACAGAGTCTGATGGGGGGGGCAGATTTTTTTGGGATGCATGTAGTCCACATGGAAGGACTTCAGGGAAATACAAGGCATGTATTCTATGGGTATTTGAGCTAGCCAATGAAATTTGATTTCTACTGCTAGGCCCAGGACGGATCACTGTTTTTACGTGTCTTCTACTGGTTTGCATACTAGTAGAATAGACATTATTCCACTCAAACCAAATCATTTATTTTGACCATAAATGTGTGCAGCAGGATCTATTCCAACGTGTTCAGCTCCAAAGTGCAGTGTGTATCTGCGCCTTATGCACATATCATCGGCTCAGAGCTAGCCAAGCCCAGGGCCATCCCTCCTCTAGGGGAGTATTGGTTTACAGATAGCAGCGGTGGTCTTGTCTTCCCAGTTTATTTATCAAGGGATTACCCAGTAAAGCTGAGGGAACTTTCTCAGCCCCTCAGTCACCTCAGGCACATTGCATTGTGGGATGAAAAGGGCTTGTTTGGTCAGTGAAGAACCCCTCTCTTCCACTTTTACATAGTGTGTGTGCTAAATATGCAGACACACATACAATCTGCTCGCCTAATGCTACGCACTGTTTAACTCTTGGAACAGAAGCACGTCTGTCAGCTCGGCCAAAGTGAACAACGACTAAATGTTCTTTCTAGAGATCAGAAATTCATAACATTCAAGGTACAGAAAAGTCACATACTGAGATTGTGTTATATAACACTTCCTGACTGTAGCTAAATCAACATTCAACCTATCTTTAGGGATTATTTTCATGTATCACAGTTATGACTCATAAGGGTGAATGGCCTAAACTGCCCAGAGAAATGCAGACCACTGGTTTGTGCCATTAATTGTATTTTTGGAAATTAATCCCAGGAATTTGCTTCAGGATCATTGCTTGTACTGTCTCAGTGCTGTACATTTGTGTTATGTTCAAGTGTACATTTTATCAATTCGCAACGGCAAACAACTCATACTTGCAAATTGTCTCCGTTTTCATTCATATCCTTGGAAATAGCTCTCGGGACTGCTGCTTATATCCGTTATCCAAACCACAGTCTCTGTCATCTCAAGACATCTCATAACCATGAAATATTCCCTAACCAGTAACAATTAGGGAATAAAATGAAGTGCACAGTATAACATACTGGAATCAAAAGTGTCAACAGTGCCCTGCTTCTTTTTGGGTTTAGATACATGATGCACTGACAGAGTCAGAGAAGAGACATCACATAACACAGAAGTGCCTGTTCAGTACCAAGCTGGACCACCTTTAGAGAAGGAATTTTATTCACCATGAATGTCACTGGTTTCCATGACAGTTATGTAAAGTAACCAACTACCAGGCTGAAAAAAAAAGCGATGGAATGAAAGAGCAGAAAAGAGAGCAAACACAATTAGCTTTATTGGTATTTACTGCATTGCGGTTCCAAACTAAAGGAGAAAAAAATGCAGAAGAAAAAATGCAATGAGTAGCCAAGTAGCGACATGAGTAGCGGTTCACATTCTGGTGGGCTCTCTATTCCACCGCTCAGGAAGCTGCTTGATACTTTGGCAACATAAGTTGTTTATGGTGTTTTCTCCAAAGAAAACCCAAGGTATCAATTATGTTTCAAATGACTGGACTTTTTTCCCGTCGGGCATCTCGATAATTATGTTTTTACAAGTAACAATTTCCATTTCTAATTGCGACACATGAACACGCAGTAGAAAGGGAGGGCCTGCTACTCGCCAGGAGAAGGCTTTCCGTTTCTATTTGCACAAAGTGCATTT